TACATACATACATACATACATGAAGGCATAACAGTCATACATAGAAAGTAAAATAAATGAAGCATTTTTTAAAAAACACACCAATTTGAAAATCCAGCAAACACTTTGGTTGTGATCTGTTTGCTGACTTAGGCTGTGAGTGAGCTTCACCCCACTGTGTTGCTAACTGTAGCATCAGTTTCACATGCTGCCACACTGCGGTGGCACTGGCAGTTCCAGACTATCACCTCATCACTCAAAATAACGGCCTTGGCTTCAGAACTCAGAACTTGGTACAACTTTGTGTTTCGTTTTTAAGGGAAATAATGAGGACAACAAAATTAGATGAAATAGAATTTCTTTAGAATGCTAAAAAAGAAAAAGAAAAGGAAGGAAGGAAGGAAGGAAGGAAGGAAGAAAGAAAGAAAGAAAGAAAGAAAGAAAGAAAGAAAGAAAGAAGAAAAGGAAAAGGTGGGCATACCTATAACCCCAGCACCCAGGAGGCAGAGGTAGTGGGATCCAGACACAATGGAATCCAGGAGCAGGAGGATCTTGAGTTCAAGGACATCTAGATACATAATGAATTTTGAGACCAACCTGGTATACAACCCTACCCACTTCCTTAAATGAAGAGAAGCAGAAACACATAAGAATTTTTAAATGTTCCAGGCACTCAGGCAGAAAATGGGGGTGAATTAGGACTAATAATCTAGTTACTTATGATAGAAAATACGGATATACATGCAGCGGATATGGATCCCACGGTAGGTGATGCCTCAGGTTAAGCCACAATCATGGGTGTGATAGCACAATACTTCTACACTAATTGAAATCTTCAAAAGAGTAGAGGGCTTTTTGTGGACATTTTTAGGAAAGAAAAATGCATGAAACTCAAAAATATGCATTTCCCATCTCTGTTATATACAAACTTGGGATCCTGGCAGTCCTAACCTAGGTAGACCAAGGTTTCTCAACCCTTGACTGTAGGGGGAGTAGGTGTTTATTGGAAGACTTTGAAATTCTAGCACATCAAACAGCGTTGCTGGCCTCAACCACTAGATGCCAGCACCACTCCCCATTGGCAACCAACAATGTCTCTAGCCTAAAAACTGGGGAATGCTTACCTAGACCAAAGCTTCTTTGATAGTAGGCCATGACCCTTTGTGGAATTGTGTGACTAAATGTGGATCTTGGGAGATAAATGGCAACAGTAAAAGTTTTCTGGTTGCTCCACTAGAAAATAATCCAAACTGAAACACGCGATGAATCTGACGAACCCTGGAGCCCCTAGATGGAGTCCCTGGCGCCCGTCCCTAGGAGGAGTCTCTGGCCCTTGTAGGAGGCTGGTCCCTGCCGCCCCTAGGGATGCCCTGGCGCTCCTAACCCTGGCCCTGGAGTACCTAGGGGGGTCCTGGCCCTGCCGTCACAAAGGGTACCCTGGCCCTATTCCAAGCTCTGCCCCTGGTGCACCTGGGGGGGGGGGCTCAGAGCTGCTAAGGGGACCCTGGCTCCTTTTGGGGGCCCAATTGCCCCTAGTCGGACCCTGGCCCTGACAGGCAATCTGCCAGGTCCCAGCCAATGGGAAGCTAAGAGCGAGCCACGGCCCCCATCCTAGCGCTGCGATTGGCTGGCTTCCACGCCACGCTCGAGCCAATCGGCGGCCGGGGCTGGCGCAGGGCCCGCGAGCGCCTCCGGTTTCCCAGGGCGGCGGCTGCCGCCTCCGCGGCCCGGGATGCGCGGGCTTGGGCGGGCGGGCAGGATGCGGAGGAGCCGGCAGGAGACGACGCGGAGCTGGCGGCTGGATGCTCGAGTCCCTCTGCCTCTCCGAGGACCTCCGCCGCACTGGTGACGGTGCGGAAGGTGAGCGAGCGCGGGCCCGTTCGGTGTCCCTGCTGGAAATGGAAGCCAGCCCGGTCGCCACTGCCTCCTTTAGCCCGCGACCAGCTAGGCGCTCCTTCGCAGGTGTCCCGCAGCCTGGCTCGCCAGCTCAGAACCGGCTGGTCAGTTGGCATGGTGGAAACTTGCAAGCCTTGCCCTCCCCCGGGCAGGAAGCCGTGCATCCCAGCTCTAAGGGCACTCACTCCCGTTCTCTCTCTAGAGAACTGGGTTGGTTGATGTGAGGCGCTGGTAGGTTGAGAGCGGTGCCCCCAATCCGTGTGTCACACCGCCTTTTAAGAAGGTCCCCTCGCAGATGAAGCTGGAGCCCTGGCGTGAGTAACTGGCTTTAGGTAGCAAAGTTTAAATCCTGGAATGAAGTCACCTGGGTATGCTTCTGTTGAGAATGGGCCGCGCTTACTCACTCTGTGGTGATGAGAGTTGGGAACGTCACGGTTTATAATTTAGATGTGAATTTTTTTGTACTGCTTATAAAAAGATTTTGAATATTTCACAATTAAGATACGTTGTATAAGAACAAAACTTTTCTGAGTTTTAAAAAATTTAGTAATTAGAATCTGTGTTTCTAAGTTTATGATCAGTTTTTGTTGAGTGTCATATTAGTCAATGTTCTCTAGAGTAACAGAGTACAAAATAAATCTACATATAAAAAAGGATTTACTAGAATGATTTACAGGCTGTGGTCCAGCTAATCCAATAATGGCTGCCTGTGTATCCAGTGATTGCCAATCCATGAGGTTTGATGTCTTAGCTGTTCTTCAGTATATGCGTGAATCCCCCAAAAGTAGGCTCTAATGTCAGTGAAGGGATGTTTATTGATGGTGAGAGGAAGCTGTCAAAAAGAGCTTTCCTCTTCCATGTCCTTTATATAGGCTTCCAGCAAAACATGTGGTCCAGATTTAAAGGCGGACCTTTCTACCTCAAAGATCTAGATTAAAGGTTTGTCTTCCCACCTAAATTCTGGTTAGAAGTGGCTCTTCCCACTTGAGATGGTCCAATTAAGCAGAAAAGCCACTCAGGTGTGTCCAGCCATTTTGTTAGTTTGAGTTAACTCCAGATGTAGTAAGTGGAGAACCAAGAATAGCCTTCCCAGGTGTTGTGATAATAGTTTAATACAGTCTTTTCTTTTTTAGCTGTTATTCATGGACTTCCTAGTCTTACGGCTTACCAATTGAGAACTGTATATATGTCAGTTTTTGACAGGAATCTGTTTTGAATATAAGTCTTAGATAAAAATCGCAAAGATCAGTGAGCAAGAGTCAGTGTTTCATCATAATTGATTCAGAGGAAACAGTTAAAAGTTCAGAGTTTTGTTTGTGTTTTGTAAGTTTATGATGTAGTGTTTTATGCTAGTGTTTGGGTTAGTTGCATTTTAACTGCTCAGTGCTTATAAGAAGATAGTGGCTGTCATCTTGGCTCCTGTCCCCAGCCCCACAGAGCTGTAAAATAAGACATTTCAAGAGGAAAAAAAATGTTTATAGCAGGTTTTCTCATCTCAGAAAATCACAGTCCTCCTGCCACAGCTCCTGAGAACAGGGACACACAGGTGTATGTCACCATGCCTGAGTATTTCTTAAGATCTAAGATTAGGGATTTCCACACCTCCTACATTACAGCAGATGCCCTGTGATGTACTGTCAGGTTTCTCCAGTTTCCAGGCTGCCAACCCAATGTCAAGGGACCCATCAGAAGTTTCTCCCTTTTCCCCTGTAAAATACTGCCTGCTCTTCCGCATCTTCAGACCCATCCAAAGCAAGCCTTGGGAAGAGAGCAGGAGACAGGTACAAACCGCAGCCCCTCCATGGAGACCCCATCACAGTTCTGCTGGGTCTCCTTGCCATTGCCTATGCCTTGTCCTCTGCAACAGGATTTTCCATTTTCCACCTGTCTTCCTAGTCAGAGCAAAGGTGGTTATGCAACCCCTATCATCGCTTTGCCCATCCTGTTTCCTATTGGGTCTTCTGTTCCGCTTGAACTTCGGGGTTTTTCCCCAGTCCTGTGAAAAAAGTAAGTGGAATTTTATGGGCTACATTGAATCTGTTGATCACTTTCATAACAATGGCCATTTTTTACAGTCCGTGAGTGTGGGAGTCTTTTCATCTTTAGTGTCTTCAACTTCATCAGCATCTTAAACTTCTCACTGTACACCTCTTTTACCTCCTGGGTTAGGGTTAATCCTAGGTACTTTATTTTATTGTGATTTTTTTTCCTGATGTCTTTCTCAACACACTTATTGATATAAAGGAAAGCTACTGAATTTTGTCTTTTGATTTCATGTTCTGCTACTTCACTAAAAGGGGTTATCAAGTCCAAGTGATAAAGTTATTCGGGTCTTTTGGGTACAAGGTCATGCCATCTGCTGAGGTGACCTACCGGTTCCTTGAGGCACACAGTAAGTGCTCTTGAAGGGTCCTGGTGTCTGCCTCTCCTGCTTTTAGCTGTGACCTCTCCCAGTCCTACTTGAGAGGACAAGGAGAGTTGCCTGATAAGCTTCCTTTATTAGTAAGAGTGTCATTTGTGTCCCTCTGCCTCACATTCCATCTCAGCTTCCCCAAATGTCCACTTCATCCTGTCTGTATGTCTTGGATATTTCCTCATTATCCTTTTTTTGTTATTTCTTCTTACAGCACTTGGCTTCATGTGTGTGGGGTAAGTGTTCTACTGAACTACATCCCTAGGTCGTATTCTAGAGCTTAAACAATTTCCAGGTGTACTTAGTCATCCATATGTTTGAAAATTTCTGAATGATTCTGTACCAGAGCAAACATGGAGAGCCACTGCCATGATAATGTACTTCTGGTGATTGTTGTTGATGTGTATCTGAGAAGGGTATGTATTCTGTTAATAAATATCATAAAAGATTTCCATGATCCTCTGCCGAAAGCACTTTTCCTTCTTTATGCGGGTGATGAAATATGTTTCTGGAGGTGTCAGAGGACCCTTCTGTGTAGTCAAATGGGTTCCTAGAATTATGTTGCTTCCAGATTTGAAGGAAAAAGAATGAAACCCACAGAGCTCATTTTCTTACCATTGCTAAGTAAACAGGGATTTCCTGGCAACCTTTGCAAAGTCCACCCTTCTAATGTGAAGGAGGAGTTAATGTTAGTGTTTTTATTTGCAGGTAAAGTAACGACAGAAGGAAACAGAAAAGCCACTGGAAGCAATGGATTGTGCATTTCAAAGAATCAGCGAGACCCTGATGAGAAACACAGGCGGAAGAAAAAACAGGTATTTCCCACTCCATTTGAGTGATATTTACAAACATTGAAAAAGCATTTATACTTGTTTTCCTAATAGGTCTAACTTAAATAAGATTCTTAATGCATTTGAAAACCACACAGAAGTTACAAAATAATACCATTTGATCAGGGGTTTTTATTTTGTTTTGTTTCTCTGTGTAGCCCTGTCTGCCTTGCAACTAGCCCCCAACTCAAAGATCTGCCTGCCTCTGCCTCCCAAGTGCTGGGCTTAAAGGCATGCACTATCACTGCCCGGCTTTGCTCAGATCTTATTAAGTAAACTTCAGGGTTAACATTGTTTCTCCAACTTAGTGTAATCAAAATGCCATTTGTCCAGTATGTGAAACTATTGGTGGAGTAGTTTATCTGACTTTCCAACTCTTGACCATAGATTGGTAAATCAAGTCATTATTATCTTACTGTATGGAATATTTTTTTTACTCTATTTAAAATGTGTTTGCTTTTTTGTTTTTTTCTAGCCTATTTGCACTTGAATCATGTCAAGTGTAAGAGCTTTGAGAATCAGCCCACTAGGAGTATTTCCTGTGGCTTCAAGTTATTTTGCAGAGATAATTGTCAGAATAGCATAATAGTCAAGATGATCAACAGCTCATTTGATTTGCTTCCTGCACATCATCAGCTGAGTGTGGGACGGACCTGTGCATACTAAATGAGTGCGGCTGTACCAATGAGTTACGTGATGAGCTCATGATGCCTCTGCACTATTTTTGGTTGGTTGTCTGTTTTTATACAGGTCATGTAAGGCCACTTTCATGCAAACTAATGTGCTCTAATCTCTAAGCTGCTTTTTTTTTTTTTTTTTTAAGTGACCCTTTGTTCTGGGCTGTGACCTTCATAAGTGCTTCTTAGTCTACTTACCACCAGTACTCCTTGAGTAAGAGAGGAAATCTAAAGGGAACTACAGGTGGTCAATTAGGGCTTTGTAAAATCAGCTTCTTTGAAAATAGGTATCCATGAAGGAGATTGGGTGTTTTTTGAACTTGGGAGTATTTCAAAATACTCTTCTCCCCTCCACATGACAGAAGTAACACAGGATTTTATAGTATCTTTACCCTGAATTATGAGTATGGTAAAGATTCGGGAGGTCAGACTTAAAAGTATTGTATCCAAAGTTGTTCTACTCTTTAGGTTCATAAATGTTAACTACCATAATTCAGTTTTAGTACATTACCCTCCCAGGAATGACTCCTAACTGCTCCCAGGAAATGTATTTATTTTTTTTTCATAATATTTTACAACTAAACTTCTATTTTACATTCCCAGCCACAGGTTACCCTCCCTTCCTCCTCCTGCTCCCTCTCTCTGCCTCCCCCACTCACTCCTCTGCTTCTTTTTAGAGAGGGGCAGGCCTCCATGGATCTCATTCACACACGGCATATCATGTTATAATTATAAGAATAAGTTGTATTACGGCTGGAGAAGGCAGCCCAGTATGAGGAATAGGTTATCAAAAGTCAGCAGGAGTCAAAGACAATCCCTGTTCCCACTGTTAGGAGTCCCACAAGAAGAACAAGCTATACACCTATAAAGTATGTGCAGAGGGACTAGGTCAGTCCCATGTAAGCTCTGATTGTCGGTCTTTGTGAGTTCCTGTGAGCTCAGGGTAGTGGATTCTGTGGGTTTTCTTGTGATGTCCTTAAGCCCTCTGGCTCCTATGATCCTTCCTCCTCTTCTTCCTCAGGATTCCCCAAGCTCTACCTGTCTGTGAGTTTGCCTCTGTTTCTATCCATTACTGGAGGAAGACTGACAGTTGGGGTCGTCACCAAACTGGTCACAGGAGATGGCCGGTTCAGGCTGTGCATCCAGTGATGCCAGGACTCTTAGCTGGGATCATCCTTGTAGATTCCTGGGAGTTTCCATTGCAACAGGTTTCTATCTGACCCCAAAATGTGCCCCCTTTCCATCTGTCCCTTACAGTCCCACCCTCCATCTATCCCCCTAACCTGAACCCTCCTGTCCCCATCCCCACCCACCCCAGTCCACCCACAAGATCTCTATTTCCCCTTCCCAGGAAGATCCATGCATCCCCCCCCCCACTTGGACCCTGCTGTTACTTAGCTTCTCTGGGTCTGTGGATTGTATCATGATTATCCCTTTCAGCTACCTGTTTGTCTTTCTGAGTCTGGGTTACCTCAATCAGGATGATTTTTTTTTCCCTAGTTCCATCCATTTGCCTTCAAATTTCTTGGTGCCCTTGTTTTTAACTGCCGAGTAGTATGCCTTTGTGTAAATGTGTCACATTGTTTTCCATTCTTCAGTTGAGGGACATCTAGGTTATTTTCAGGTTGTGGCTATTAGGAATAAAGCTGCTTGTGAACATGGCTGAACAAATGTCCTTGTGGTGGGATGGAGCATCCTTTGGGTATATGCTCAAGGAGGGGGATTTCTGGGTCATGCGGTAGACAGATTCCCAATTTTCTGAAAAACTGCCATACTGATTTCCAAAGTGGCTGTACAAGTTTGCACTTCCACCAGCAATGGCAGAGTGTTCCCCATTTTTCCACATCTTCTTCAGCATGAGTGATCATTTGTGGATTTGATCTTAGCCATTCTGACAGCTGTAAGATGGAATCTCATGATGGCTAAGGATTTTGAACTTTTGTTTAAGTGTTTCTCAGACACTCGAGGGTTCTCTGTTGACAACTCTGTTTAGATCTGTACTCCATTTTTAATTGGATTATTTGATTTGTTGGTATCTAGTTTACTGAATTTATCCTTATGTGTTTTAGAAATCAACCCTCTGTCAGATGTGGGGTTGGGGCAGATCTTTTCCCAGTCTATGGGCTGCTTTTCAGTTTAAGAGGTCCCATGTATTATTGATCTTTGTGTCTGTGTTGTCAGTGTTCTATGCAGAAGTTGTCTCCTGTCCCACTGCCCTCAAGGCCATTGTCTACTTCAGTGTAACTACATTTCTGTTGGGGTCTAGTGTTTAGGTTGTTCTGAATTTCCCATGTGGATAGGAGTAATAATTTCCAAGACTCTTCCCCAGTTGGATTGGAGGATGGAGCACAGGTGTCATTCATAGACAACTGTAATAGGACAGTGTTTCTCTCGTAGGGAGAGAATTGACCATGTGGTCTTAAGAATACAGCATGCTACTGTTTCCTCTGCCAACCTCCGCTTTTATTTTCCTGTTGTCCACCATTGACCTTGTGGTAGAGAACTCTTTGCAGAAGGTGGCTGACACACTTAGTTGTATGTTATATTGGAGCTTACAGCTGTTTAATTTTTTCATTTAAATTACTTAATTCCTATTAGGATAGCTTTTTTTTTTTTTTTTTTTTTTTGGTCTGTCTTACTTGAGCCCACCTCATTAAAATTTGTCCATCCTTTTATAAACATATTCCATCAAGGAAAAAGGTAAAAACCTTACAGAAGTATATAGGAAAATCACTTTCATTTTTAAGAAACTAAGCTTTGCATTGATTTTTAACAGATGTATTATCTTTAAAGAATGTTTCTTTGAGTAATTTTTGTTTTCTTTTTTTTTTTTTTCAACAGACATGGCTTTGGGAACAGGACAGAATTTTGAAGTGTGGTGTAAGGAAATGTGGAGAGGGAAATTGGGCTAAAATACTGTCACATTGTAAGTTCAACAACCGAACAAGTGTCTTGTTAAAAGACAGGTGGAGAACAATGAAGACTCTAAAACTGATTAACTGAGACACTGAAGGCTGAGTAGGTTTGTTTCAGCTTAATGCAAGGGCAGTTAAATACTTGGATCCCTACATTTGTTCAGAACTTTCTGGTCAGTGATGGGTCTTACAGTTTTTGTTGAGAGCATTATTTGTTTATGATAGTTTTATTACAGATTTGCACTGTAAAAATAAAGTTATATGCCACCAGTGTTTTCTTTAAGAATCTTTATTTTTTAAACCATAGATACATTGGACCCTAACAAATTCAGTGCCCTATCCCACATCCTATTTTAGTACAAAAGCAAGAGCCTGATAAGATAGGAAGTATTTATTTATGGCTATTTCTGTTTGCTCTATTCCATGTTTGTAGACTAACCTTACAAAATGCCACATAGAAATGGATTTTCTAAAGAATTGAACTGGGTTGCTCCTTTGTGGTGTTTGGTTGGTTTTGGTTTAGTTTTTCTTGACTTATAGCTAATGTACTACTTATTGAAGTCTTTACTACTAGAGTGATAAATGTTCAAAACAGTCTAAGAGTTCTGACAAGCTTGAGTTCGCTCAGTAGTTTCATTTAAAGGAAGATGAGTTTTCATCAACAATTTATTCTTTACAATATTTACTCAAGGATTAATAATTAGCATTTTGAGTTTTATGTGCTGTATTTAGCAACTGAATAAAAATCTCACCCTATTGAAATATCTATGTTAGAAATGGTGTTGTGTAATGCCTCTAATTTTTTATCAGTGTCATGTGTCGAGCACTATCGCCTTGCCTGCAAGAACGACGCTCAACAACAGGATTCTTCTGCAGCTATGTTTATTGCGCGGCTCATTACAGCAAGTTGAGGGAAGACCCCGAGGAGGAAAAAGGGCTCTGCTTATATAGAGGAGCTGTGTCCGTTACTGACAGTTGCAGAGGAGCTGTGTCCGTTACTGACAGTTGCAGAGGAGCTGTGTCCGTTACTGACAGTTGCAGAGGAGCTGTGTCTGTTACTGACAGTTGCAGCCTGTAACGGTCGTAACGGTCACCCCATGACGTGGATCGCACATCCGCGCCTTGCTGGCTTATGGACAGGAAACCGGTGCCATCTTTGGGAATAGCACCGGTGGCTCTCTACAGTCATGCATTATTTCCTATTGTTCTTGAATCTATGTATCCTGTTTACCCAATAAACAGACACATTAGTAATTGCTGTGTGCTTCCTGACCCAGTAGCTACCTCACATTTGCCCTGTGTCTGTGTTTACCCAGTATGCTGCTGATTAGTTACAAAGCTGGCATCTTGGGTCAAAATAAGCATTCAAGTCAACGTCATTCTAAACATAGTTCTTAAATCATCAAGCCTAAATTGCTAAAATACCTACTATTTACCCATTGCTTTAAAAAGTATGGTACATTATTAAAAATTTCCTTTTAAAAGCTATCTTTTTTTTTTTTAACCTTTTAGCATTTATTTAGTGGGTGCATCAATCTGCATGCCATGGCATGAAGAAGTCAGATGTCAGATAATGACTTAGGGGAGTGTGTGTGTTAGTGTCCTGTCAATGTGACACAAGCTGTAGATGCGTGGGAAGAGGAACATCAGCGTGCCTGTAGGCAAGTGTGTAAGGGTTTTCTTCACTGGTGACTGATAAGGAAAGGTGCAGCTCACAGGTGCCGCTCCTGGGCAGGTGGCCCCGGGTGGTCTAAGAAAAAGCAATACTGAGCAAACCACGCCGGGCCAGGCACTAAGCAGCTCTCCTCCACGGCCTCATCAGTTCCTTCCTCCTCATTCCTACATTGAGTTCTTGCCCTGGCTGCGCTCAGTGGTAGACTGTTGACCTGGAAGTAAGGTGAATTCAACCATTTAATCGTGGACTTTTATCAGAGCAACAGAAACCTAAATACGGCCGGGAGTGAGTCCTCCCCATGGCGTCAGTCCAGGATTTAACCGTGAGTGGTGCAGATTGGCGGGAAGCTCTTTCATCTGCTCACCCATCTCATCAGCCCCGAAAGCTGTTTTGTGTTTATTTAAGCAGCTTTTCTTTTTTCATATACCTTGTAGATGTGTGAAAAGAATTGTAGATAGACTGGAAAGATGGCTCCATAATAAGAGCACTGGCTGCTCTCCCAGAGGACATGGGTTTGATTCCAGCACTAACAGGGCAGCCCACAGTTGTCTGTGACTCCAGTTCCAGGGACTCCAGGCCCCAGGATACTGCATGCATGTTATGCACAGACATACATACAGGCAAAACATGCACATACATAAAATGGTTTTCTAAAGAATAGTAGAGAAAATAACTTGAGCAATATATTCCTAAAACATTGTTTCCCGGTCTCAATTCTTTGGCTTACTTTTTTTAAAACTTTGTTGTTATTGAGGCAATTATAGATTCATGTGCACTTGTAAAAATTATAAAGAGTATTTTCCAAGTTTCCCCTGGTATTAGTTTCTGATAAAACTATAGTATATCACCATCGAGAAGAGAAATTAATAGTGATAGTCCATTTTGTCAGGATTCCCTAGTTGTGGTCTCTCCATACTGAGTTCTAAACAATTTTATATTAATCTGCCCCCTTCTTCACAGGCAAGATCCAGAACAGTTCTAATAACAGGGAGAATTACTGAATTCTTCTTACAAACTGCACTGACTTCCCCAACCCCATTTTTCAAAATGTAATCGTTTAAGGATGTTATATGGGCCTGTAGCTCAGGTACATCATTTGCCTGGCTTGTGCAACGCCCTGGGTTCTCTCCCCAGCCCTGGACAGTAAATAAGGGGGTTCGAGTGAGGCCATTCAAAGATCCATTCTGCCACTGTAACAACCAACCAGCTGACAGACTGCCCAGTCAGCTCCTTGGAGCTCCCGTGTCTCATAGAAATCTAGAAGAGGCAGAGCAGTGGCTAGTGAAGAAACGCACAGGCCTTCCATTTTGCTTTGAGACTGTCTCTTCTCACTATGTAGACTAACCTCCTCTCCAACTCACAAAGATCCCCCTACCTCTGCCATACGACCATACCTGGTGCAATAACTTGTCGGAAGGCTTTGCTTGCTTTCTGTCCCTGATCGCGCACCTCAGCGGCTGCTGTAGTAACAGCTCGTGCTTCTGGGGCAGCTCAGTGCTAGCTAAACCATGAAATGCAATGCAGGTTTTCACAAAACGTGGCTGCATGCTGACATGTCTGCCCCTTGAGTTCCAACGCAGATTTGTCTTTCATTTTATCTAGGCTCTAGCAACCTCAAACGGGTCCACTTCAGGATTTCCTAGGGGATAGACAAAAGTCTGTTAGAACAAGGTTTAAAAAGTGTCAATGGCTGCTTTCATAGCCAATATCAGAGTCTAGTGGTTATGACAAATCATGTATCGAATGAAAAGCCAGAAATAGCTGCTTTCTGATGTTTTATAGGAAAAATTTTATGTCCAGACCTAAGAGATTACTAAAACTTTGGTTCACTTGGTCCTAAGAAGTGGGGCCAAGAATGTGTACGTTCTAATTCTCTAATCCAAAAGAGTCAGATTCAAGAGTCTGTAGCCCCTGTGGAGTGAGCAGGGTTTTGGTAGTCCTTGGAGAACTTCATCTGGAATGAAGTCCGATAACCAGACTGGCCTGTGTATTTCTGGTGCAGAGAGCTTCTGGGTCCCTTAGCAAGAACCGAAGTCCTGGATTTGGGTCCCTGGACAGGTCCGCCTCCCTGTCCATGTACTATGTTGAGATGTTGCACACTGCTCAGCTCTTTGGGACACAGAGGACAGGTCCTCGGGGAACGAAAGCCCATCAGTCAGTTTCCTTCCTTACCCATCAGAATCCAGGCCGTCTCCAGAGCAACGCAGGCTCACAGAATTCATAGCTGGGGGCTGGCAGTCCACACACACCGTGTAACCCTCTCTAAGGTACTGCATCCATCGTGTCAGGGGACGATTGTCCAGAGCACAGTGAGGAGTCAGGGACTCTGTCTTGAACTCCATACAGTATCTGGAGCAAAAGAAGTCAGGATCGCACGCACCATACTTAGAAGTGGCCCGGTAGTGCCGGAAGTCTTAAAGAGCCATGACAACTGTGTAGCAAACATTACTCACTCTTTTCTCTTGAGGCACAGTTTCACTGAGTAGCCCAAGTTGACCCGGTAGCAACCTTCAAATGTGCCATTGTGCCCAGCACGCATGTGTGTATGCATGAACACATACTTACACACACATATGCATGAGGTTGAGACAAGGGCTCACATACCTCATATCGGCCTCAAAACCAACAACTGAGGCTGCCTCTGCACTCCTTAACTCCATCTCGCCCCAAACGTGAGGATTGCAAGTGTGCACCACCATGCTCAACTACGTACTGTAACTTTTCTAAGGATAAAAAAATCTGACACTCAGTGACTCCTCGATAGTAAGCAGCCTGTGCATCTAAACAAGCGGCTGTTGGGTCTCCCTTGTCTGATGGAAGAGTAAACAAGGGTTAGCATGGACACGCCTTCCAGCCTGTGAGGACAGTGTCAGCAAGAAGCCCTCCAAATGGAAGTATGTCAACTTTCAAATTCACAGGACAGTTTGTGAAGACTCTAACGCTGCTGGGCATGGTAGTATACTCCTTCAATCTCAGATAAGCAGATCTCTGTGAGTTCAAGGCTAGCCTGGTCTGCAGAGTGAGTTCCAGAACAGCCAGGGCTACACAGAGAAACCCTGTCTCAAAAAAACAAAAAGAAATGGAGAGACAGAGGGAGGGACGCAGGGAGGGAGGGAGGAAGAGAGGGAGGGAGAGAGGAAGGCAGGGAGGAAGGGAGAGATGGAGGGAGGGAAAGAAAACATAACAGTAATTACCCGGCATCCTCTGTGCGTGTAGACCACTGTGGAGACGTGGCTTGTATTGTTCTCTTCTTGTTGAATGCAGAGCTAGTTATAAAGGCAGGAACTAGAGAGGGGAGAATTACACTGTATTCGTGCAGTCAAAGTGCTCAGTACGTTCCCAGACTGGGTTCTGTGCCTGTCTGAGGTCTCAGTTTCCAAATCCAGAGACCTTAGTGGCCCAGCATCAAGAGAGACAGTTCTAGCATCTTCTGCGAAACATATTGGCCTCCAGGCATGAAAGTGTAAAGGAAGGAGAGGGGCCAAAACAAAAAACTGGATGAAATTAGAGAAAATGGAGTGGGGACGAGGAAAAGAAAGCGGTAATGGAGATTATAGCATGAGAAAGAGAAGGGAGGGGGGAGGGGAACAAAAAGAAGACATAAAGACGGAAGTGCAGTGAAAATGCACTTCAGGAATAGATGGGAGAAAGACGGAAGCAAGCAAAGGGAAAGGGGAGAAGACAAGAGAGGAAATGAGAAAGAATAAAAGAAGCAAGGTAAGAAAATATGGGCGCCTGAAAGCCTCTTGGGTTTCAAAGCCTGGTAACTTAGCCGCCCCCAACCCGCCCACTCAAATCCCTACAACAGAATGTGGAGCTTGTGAAATTTTATCAAGATACAATGTTTCTGGGTGTGCACTGACGAGAACAGTTAAAGTCAAACAAGCAAGGGATGGGTGTTTCTGGTCACATGACTTTCCACGGCCGGGATTCTGAGCATGTACACTTTGCACTGCCTGTGCTATCACGTCAGGGAAGGCAGCAGAAGCCTCGGCTCAACTTTGAGTGAAAGACCTAAAAAGTAATGTTAATGATGGACTAACCTAGAAACCATTATCTGTTCCTTGGAATTTGCTAGCTTCCTCTCACAAGGCCCTGAGATAAGAAGAATTCACATTGCCCCTCCTTTCCTGGCTCAACTTTGAGTGAAAGACCTAAAAAGTAATGTTAATGATGGACTAACCTAGAAACCATTATCTGTTCCTTGGAATTTGCTAGCTTCCTCTCACAAGGCCCTGAGATAAGAAGAATTCACACTGCCCCTCCTTTCCTGTGAGTCAACAGGTGGTAAATAGGGTCAAGAGATAGCTGTAACTCTGGTTTGCCCCGACAAGATTAATTAACACACCTGAGGCCCTAAGGTCTGCTGACCCTAATAGCAGACCATCCAGCCTCCAAGGGTCACGTACTCAATGGACAGAGGGTCCCACCCCCTCCCTAAGCTTGTGGGTTTGCCTTTAAAAACACCTGGGCCCAGGGGAGGGGGCTTCTCCCTAGCCTGCCTGCTGGAGGAGCCCGTTTGCGCAAACGTCTCCTGTTCATTAAAGCCTCTTGCGTTTTGCAGCAACTGGACTGGACATTGAGTTTTTGGGGTATCGGCCGAACCTGGAAGACTCCTCATTCTGAGGGTCTTACATGAGGTCCTGGTGTATTAAGGATTATGTGTTTGTAATGTAGATGCAAAGTCTCCCTGCCCTTACTGAAATACAATGGCCCAATTACAGTACACAAGGCCCTGATGTTTTCATAGGAGCATATATGTCTTCATATAGCGTGTCTTTAGAATGCTTGAATTTGAAAAACGCTGTTTGCATTGCTGACTTGAGTTTCCTTTAAAAAAATAAATAAAGTGTCAGTCAGTGGTTTTGACTTCGGATTAGGACAGAATTTCCAACAATTTCTGAAATGGCCCTACATATCCCTCTGCCATTTTGTAGTGTGTATTTATGTGAGGAAGTGTGGTCAACACTGATGATTATAAAATCAAAATGTCAATCAAACTCTGGAAAACATCAAAGATGCTCTGTGCCCTGCATATCAAACACTCAACCAAGACTTAATTTTCATGCAAACATAAATAAGTACATCCATCCCATTAGTATGCATATTTGCCTTCGCCTTTAATAAGAGGTAAAATTGCATCAAAAAAGAATTGTTCTAAAATAAATTTCACTGTGGCAGAAAACATTTCATTTACCTACCTGTTTTATATACTTATTCATTTGGGGTGAACTTGGAGGTAAAAGTCTGGAGGGTGAAAAGGAGTCACAAGTAGAAGTTAAGAAGTCCTGGTTTAGCTTGGTGGTGGTGGTGCACACATCTAATCCCAGCACTGGGGAGGCAGAGGCAGGTGGATCTCTGTGAGTTCAAGGCCAGCCTGGTCTACAAAGTAAGTTCCAGGACAGCCAGGGCTACACAGAGAAATCCTGTCTCGAAAAACAAAACAAAACAAAAGACAAACAAAAAAGAAGTCTTTGTTTAGAGAACAATGCCACCGGAAAGCAGTTGGGGCAGTGGCTCTGATGGTAGTGTCACTGCTGCATAAGCTTGAGGACCTATGCTCCATGCCTAGCAATCCATGGCAGCAACTCCTGTAGAACCCTAACACTGGGAAGAAGGGGACAGGAGGGTCCTGGGTTTTCTGGCCAGCCAACCCAGCTAATTCCGTGAGCTCCAGACTCAGAGAGCCACTGTGTCTCAAAGCGTAAGGTGGAGAAAGGCTGAGGTGTATACCCAGCATCAACCACTGACCTCTACCCGTGTGCGTGAGCGCACATGGACAGACAGACAGAGGGACACACACACATGACAGACATACATGACACACACATGTTGGATGGACACACACACAGACACGATACACACTTACACGTGGATGGACAGATGGACATACATACACAGCAGACACATGACACGCGTGGATGGACAAACACATGACACATACACACAAGAACAGACATGACACACACAGCAGACACTCATCTCTCTCTCTCACACACACACAAACTATGTATGTTCAGTACAGACATTTTTTTCCAAAATATTTCCAGTCCTGCTTGGGTAAAGCTACAGATGGACAGGTCCTGTGAGTGCCTCAGCAACGCTTCCTGCCTTTTGCTTCTGAAACTGAGCAATGTAGACAAGGAGAGACAGAGACACGGGAGGGAGGGTGTTAGGTTTTCAGATGTTAAACTTGTTAAAGTCAGCAAACCATTGTGAGGGCGCCAGTTAGGACACGTTCATTTTCCTGCCACAAGATGGCAGGCCTTAATTCTTTTTCAGATTTTCCTTGCTTTTTTTCCCTCTACTTCTCTCTCCGTCTCTTCTTATTTTTAAGAGAAATAACCCCTTTGTTGACATGTTCCTCAGACAAAGCCAGTGGAATTGGTATTTTTGGAGGCATCAGTCAAGAGACCAAATTCCTTATCTTTATTCCTTGGCTCCAAGTCTGGTTGGAGCTGCAGAAGCAGCAGGCCCTGCTGTAAATGCATCTGTAACAGCCCAGAAGGCCTTGACCCTTCCAGATGGGAAGGTCTAGTAGGGTTTCCGTAGGCAAAGCCAGGATTAGCATCTACGTGTGCCTGTGTGTTCATGCAAGAGGAAGGTCAGGGGACAACTTGAGATGTCCACCTTGTTTTATGGCACAGGGTCTCTGCTGAGGCTGGCTGGTCACTGAGGCCACTGACCTTTAGAGAGGATCTGTGTCCATCTTCTCAACACAAGCATTATAAGCACATGCAACCATGTGTGGCTTTCACCTTCTGGTCTTTGGGACTTACGGTCCAGGGGCTGCTGATGTAGTCAGTTAGTAGAGTGTTCGCTTAACGTGACTGAGGTCCCAAGCTCTATCCAGACTGCAGGAGACCCCATACTCAGGATTCATTTCTATGTTGATAGTCTGTGTTATTGTTTGTTTGGGAACAGAGTCTTGATAAGTAACCCAGGCTGGTCTTGAACTCCCAATCCTCTTGCCTGAGCCTCAACACCCCGGCTTATGGCACATCTTAAAAGCAAACCAGCTCCTCGGGATCCTGTCTGCCTCACCCCAGCCGCTGCAGGGTTAGGGTCCAGGTGAACCTTCTCCCATGCATGAGTCTTCCTCCCACAGTCCAGGAGCCAGATGGCCTGCAGCATTTGAACCAAAGCCACTCTTTAATGATTACCTGCATCTTCTAGATGTGCCCCAGGCAATCACGGGAGACTTTAAAAAAAAATCTGGTGGGATCAGAATATGGCTTCGGAAGAAAGGCATAGATAGATATAATATCTATGTGAAAATGGAAGGGACCATGAGACAAAGACCGTACTTAATCTCTAAAGATGAGAAAACAGGCTGGAGAGATGGTTTAGACATGACAGTTAAAAAGCAAACTAGCCCCCAAGTACCAGGACAGCCTGCAACCCTACTGATACCTCAGCTGTAATCTAGTGAAACCTATGTCAGATTTCTGACCTCCAGAACTGTAGATAATAAATGTATATTGTTTAAGTCACTAAGTTGGTGGCAACTTAGCTTTCTGAAGTATTAAGTGAATTTACAGGCACGCAGTTCGTGGTGTTTTGTTTTGTTTTCTTCTAGAACCTGATTTCCTAAGGGCAAGTCTCTTCATTTAGTTCACCACCCACTTGCCATCTTGGTGAACTGAGAATTATCAAATTCATAATCCTGAGTCCGTTAAGATTAAGTAACTTTCTTCTCCTTCAGTATCTCTCTTTCCTCTCCCTGCTTAATGAACAGCAAGAAGAATGAAGGCCGTTCCTTCAACACTGTGCTCAGATTTCTCCTTGGCTAAATATGCAAGCTCCCTTGTCACTCACAAGTATTTCCCACATAACTGGAGGACACACCCGCTATGCTTTCTGCTCCCATCTCTCAGGAATTTCCTTCCACACTCCAAAAGGCTTGAATGGTTTTCCAAAGAGCCTTTGGAAAGGGCACATACCCTTTTCAGACCCTCCAAGTTCAATCTAGGCAGACCTGTGCTGAACTCTGTCCCTCAGAACTGTAAGAAAATGTATGTGTCATATGAAGCCGCTAAGGTTCTGGTGATTTGTTACAGCAGCCATAGGAATAAATATGACTCCTTAGTAGGATTTCTGTGAAGATTGACTCAAGAACACTTAAGGAAACTCTGTGAACTGTGCGAGGGTGCATGCGTGCGTGCGTGCGTGCGTGCGTGCATGCATGCGTGTGGTGCAAGTCTGAAATCACCACATGTGGGAAGTAACAACTAGAGGATCAGAAGTTCAAGGTCATCATCAGCCACATGGAGACTTTGAAATCAGCCGGGGCTACATAGTCATGATTCCAGTCTCATAAAAACAAACAAATACTCTGTGCCGCTCAAAAGTGAGCTAAGGCTCATGCTCCGTGAACAGGAGCTCTGGCTGAGGTAGCAGTGGGTGCCCATGTGACCACATGGCAATACAAATGCACTTACTCTGAGGTGAGCTTTCTCCCATGCCTGCACGTCAATGTGAGGGCCTTTGTAGGTACATTTAGTTATTTTGTTATTTATTGGGGGGAGTGGTGGGTGCATGCCAGTGTGGGTGTGTAGAGGTTAGAGAAAGGCTGGCAAGAGTTGGCTCTCTCCCTCTACTGTGTGGGCTCCAGAAATTGAGCTCCAGCTGGAGAACTTGTCTATCTCTGTGCTCCATCCGCCTGAGCTGTTAAGGAGCTGGGATGCACTTGTTGTTTGGCTCTGGATCTCTGAAACCTACCATAGCCGTGGAATGTCGCAGATACTTGAGTGTTTAAAGAGTGAGACACAGCCAAGTGAATGAAAATGTGAGAGAGATCTGTCTATGACACGTGTCACCCCATTGATCACTAGGATCGGTTGGGCTTATCTAGCTTGCTAAGCAGGTGTGCCCTTCCTCCCTGGACACTCCCTGAGCCTCCTGTCTCTCTCTAGCTGTGTGTTTTGCTGAAGAGGACGGCTGTTCCTGACAGAGGAGGGTCAGCCTTCAAGGCTGTGAGAGCAGCTGGGCTTCCATGCTGGAACCTCCATACAGTCTCAAAGAATCTAAATGACCAGGAGCCGGTGGGAAAGAATCCTCCAGATGGAATGCTTGTGTTACAGTCACAGCCCCCTCCCCCCACCCTTTGCCGGAGTTGTTTGTCCATCGTTTTCCAATATATAACTTCATGGACATGGGTGCTTTTACTGAGTTTCTTCTGGTGGGGGTAGGGGTTGTTCAATTAAGCCAAGTAGGGAAACCCTGCATAATCTGTCTCCCTCTTTGCAGAGTGAACATGCTCAGTCATCCTTGGCTCTGAAAAGTTCTTTGGAAGAGAAAACACATCCCCTTTGTTCCCATTATTAACACAAAAGAAGGCAAGCTTGGGAAACTTTTACCATCCATGATGCAGGCAGAGAGGTGTGAGGTCGTGCTTGGGATATTCTGAAACTCTAGTGAACATCAGACGCTCCAGAAGGGTTTGTTACAGCTCGGCATTCTGCTCCCATGAGCCTGGGTCAGGCCCCAGGAGCTTACATTTCTAAGGAGTTACTAACAAGTCCAGAAACCCCTGGTGTGGGATCACACATTAGGAGTCTCTGCAGCGGAAGAGTCAATGGGCTCCACGCTCCCCAGCCAGCCTGAATGGAGTCATCCCTACAATTCACTCCCCCACCCCACCCCACCCCTGGGGGAGGGGCTTGAGGACCAAAGATGAGACTGCAAATGGGAAGATTACCCTCTTCTTTGCAAAGTAAGGGAGTGTAAACACCAAGTCTAGGCAGTGTTAGACCTAGGCAGTTTCAAGAAGCAAGAGAAAAGGACAGCTGCTTCAAATCCTGGGGTTGGGTGGGTGGCAGGCCCACTAGAAGGGAGAGTTGGGACCAAGTGAACTTTAGAGGAGGAACATGTGGAGCTGCTGGACAGAGGGACAGGCGCCTCCAGGCAGAAAGACACTGTCCAGGGTCCGAGTACCGGCCGGGGCCACACTGTCCCTGGAGTGTACCATAACCACACTTCCTGGTGCTGGAAGCTTGTGTCCCATGTCCTGCCACACTGTCTTTCAAAGAGAGAGTCGGGACTGGGTGTGCAAGAGCCTGGGTGCTGAAGGACCTTCCAGCAGCCAAACACAGTCACATAGCAACCACCGTGGATGTCTGCAGAGGGCCCCCACGCACCGATTCCTCCTGGCAGCCGCCCCGCTGGAGCTGCGTAATGGTTTCTCCCTGAGTTTAACACTGCTACATCACCTAGGAGCCTCCCCTGCAACCCTCCACCGTGATCATTCACAGTCACAGATCTGATCACAGTGGCCCC